AGCTTTTCTAATTATGAGCAGAGTCATTATCGTCCCAAACATTGTCCGGACTACTGATCTCATTCTTTATGCTTAAGACACCTTTTCTAATTATGAGCAGAGACATTATCGTTCCAAAAATTATCCGGACTACTGATCTTATTCTTTATGCTTAAGACACCTTTTCTAAATATGAGCAGTCATTTTCGTTGCAAAAATTGTCCGGACTATTGATCTCATTCTTTATGCTTAAGACACCTTTTCTAATTAAGAGCAGAGTAATTATCCCTCCGAAAATTGTCCGGAATACTGATTAGATTCTTTTTGTTTTGGAAGCCATTTGTAATTTTGGGAAGATTCATTATCATTCGAAAAGTTGTTCAATCTATAGATCTCACTGTTTCTATCTCAGCAAATGTCTCATTATCACTGCAAAATATTAATAAATAACCGAGTTCAACTTGTGCCTTATATCAAGGTGTGTTGGACAACGCCAAATCACCATAGCTGCTCTGGGATATCTTATCAAGCCCGCATTATAATAAAACCAACGTTCTATGTCATGTGATAATCTGATATTAAGTTTAAGTTTTAGCGTTTTAATCGGTTTTAACATCGGTTAATCATTTTAGTCGAGGATTCATTTCCCAGAATTTCACCATGATTTTTTTTCAAATAATGACAGCATTTCAACTCTTGAATTTCACCATCTGAATTCTCTGAGGAAGTATTTTCCTTTATTAATTTTGACTAAATCATTTCAGGCCAAATTCCCAAGTGCTCTAAGCTAAATTCGACAAGTGTCATAGGTAATTTGCAAATAAGTATTTTTAGTAGAGGTCTGTCATCAATGGTTGTTTTGTGGTCTGTCGAGTCGAGAACTGAATCAATTATTAATACATACAAGCAGACTTCAGTTTTCATGATATAAAATTCAGTTCTGCTTTTCTTTGTAACGCTTCCCAGTCAATAAAACATATTCTTTTATGTCACAAGACCTTTCAGGATGTGGACAATCATGGCTCTCCACAATTTCCTGGCTTGTGTTACTCGCAGAAATTTCTGATTGCTTAGCGTTCCTGTTTTGCTATGCATTCACACAAACTCGTTAAGTATTTTAACGGCTGTTTCTCCGTGCATCATTTGCCTTTCGTATGCCCTGTGAGTGTTAAAATCTCTAGGCCATTTTACTGAGTCCATAAATGTCAACTGTTTGTTTTTAACTACAAATATCAGCTTCTTTGTAAACTCATTTTTTTCTTAAAACGTCTTCCTTGTTAATATCATCAGTGTATAAAATTCTAAGTATAACAATTCAGAGTGTATAACATTCTCTGTATAAATCTTTCAGTATAACATTCTCAAAAGACTTTAAGCGTATAAGATTCTCAGTATAACATTCTCTATATTCCATTCATAGTGTATACCATTCTCAGTATAACATTTTCAATGTATTCCATTCTCAGTATAACATTTTAAGTGTATGACATTTTCAATGAATAACATTCTCAGTGTATAACGTATTATAACATCTTCAGTGCATACCATTCTCAGTATAGCATGTTTGATGTACAACATACTCAGTATAACATTTTCAGTGTATAACATTCTAAGTATAACATTTTTAATGTGTAACATTCTCAGTGTATAACATACTTACTATAGCATCTTGAGTGTATACTATTCTCAGTATGACAATTTCAATGTAAAACACTCTCAGTATAACATTCTCAGTGTATAATATTATTTGTCTAACATTTTCAATACAATATTCTCAGTATAACATTCCAAGTGTATAACATACTTACTAGAATATTTTCAATGTATAAGATTATCAATATAACATTTTTCAGCGTATACCATTCTCAGTATAACATTTTCAATGTATAACATTTTCAGTGCATAACATACTTACTATAACATCTTCAGTGTATACCATTCTAAGTATAACATTTTCAATGTATAACATTCTCAGTATAACATTCTCAGTGTATAATATTCTCTGTATAACATTTTCAATACAATATTCTCCGTATAACATTCCAAGTGTATAACATACTATAATAATTTCAATGGATAAGATTATCAATGTAACATTTTCAATGTATAACATTCTCAGGATAACATTTTCAATCTAATATTCTCAGTATAACATTTGCAGCGTATAACATTGTCACTGAAACATTCCCAGTATAACATCCCCAGTGTATAACATAATCGCTATAACATTTTCAATGAATTACATTATTAGTATAATATTTTTCCAGTGTATAACATTATTGCGATAACATTTTCAGTGTTTACCGTTCTAAGTAAAACATTTTCAATGTACAACATTCTCAGTGTATAACATTCTTAGTATAACTTTTTCATTATAATAGTCTCAGTATAACATTTGAAGCGTATAACATTCTCAGTATAACATCCCAAGTGTAAAACCTAGTGCCTATGATATTTTCAGTGTATAAAATTCCCAGTAGAACGTTTTCAATGTATGACATTCCCAGTATAACATTTTCAATATAATATTCACAGTATAACATCTCCTGTGTATTACATACTCACTATAATTTTACAATGTATACCACTCTCAGTATAACATTTTCAGTGTATAACTTTTTCACGATAAACATTTTCAGTGTATACCATTCGCAGTATAACATTTTAATATAATGTCCCCAGTATAACATTTGAAGCGTATAACATTTTCACTATAATATTCGCAGTATAAAATCCTCAGTGTATAACCAACTAATTATAATATTTTCAGTGTATAACATTCTCAGGATAATATTTTCAATATTCATTGGTACTAGCATATCTAATGATATTTTTCCTGCTTTAATACTTTGCTTAGTTTCGGGAGAGCATCATCTCTATTCCCATACTTCTTTGTATAACCGTGTCACATGTACCATCCTGTGTTACTATTACCGTGACGTGGTAAGCGATATTGTGCCAGGATATTGCCGTTTAGAGAACAATAAACATTACAAAGATTCAATTCTATTTTTGTTCCTAGCATAGTAAATAAAATTAGTTTCTCTTCTGTGCATCTTTAAGCTCTGGCTATGTTTTGAACTTTCGAAACGTAAAAATCAAGAATTCTAATTCTAAGATTTCTAGAATTTCAGGTAGTTGGGAATTTCGTTAAATACCTGGTCGATTTGGTCGGATACGTCACGAATTTAATTTGCTACTTCCAAAATTATAAATAACACTTTACGAATTTAGCCAGTTTGGTATGGGATACTACTTTTTTTTTCTGCTAAACAGTTCACCTTTCAGTTACCTTCAGTCCGCTGTTAGAATAATCAAAAAATGAAGTCGTAATTGAGAAATAACTTTCAAAATGCGTATCCCGTATTACGGCAGCTTTTCTTACATGGACGAAGCTACAATCTATTCGGTTATGTAACACAATGTTCATAATGTCATACTGGGCAAGATTCTGAATAAATCTCAAAATCTTCAAAAATTTAAACAGAAAATAGTTTTAAATATATATATATATATATATATATATATATATATATATATATATATATATATATATATATAAGGGGTTCATATTTTTAGCGAGTAAATCAAAACTTTCATATTTATGTAATATTTTGTTTAGGTTCGGAGGAATATATATATATATATATATATATATATATATATATATATATATATATATATGTATATATATATATAGTATATATATATATATATGTATATATATATTATGTGTATATATTATGTCTTTATTGTTCGCAATACGCCATTTGTGTTTTTTTTATCGCAAGTGACAATGCCGCATTGAAAATAAGCGAAGCAGAACTGATACAATTTTCTTGGGTTGTCAACCCAACAACACGTGCCAAAGACAGACTATAGATACGTTTGAATTCTTCAGAAACCGAAGAGAATCCAATGCTCTTGCAGAATGGCAATGCTTCCTCAGAGAGTTGCGAGATCATTCAAAAAGCAATTTCCATAACTATCGATTTGTTTGCTGCGAAAGTAACACACACACACGCGTACACACACACACACATATAAAATATATATTTAAATATATTATATATATATATATATATATATATATATATATATGTATCTATCTATCTATATATATATCTATATATATATATATATGTAATAAGACATTACAATAAAAACATTTCGAAATCACTACACAAAAGCTTTCATGTTTCAATATTATGATTGTACTTCTTCAGGCGATGCTAAGTACCTGGTGATTAAATGATTTTTAAGGAAATTTAAAAACAAAGTGTAACTACTTTTCCGAAAGTTAAAGACGTCAGAATTAAAAATAGACTTCTGGGGACGTCTTGAGTAACCAATAAAATTAAGGTTTGACATTTAATTGTTAAATTTTAGTTGTCGAAACAAATATACATTTTTGTCGTGAAAACTTGCATTTTCCATTGTAACAGTGTATAAAAAAATATTTATGACTCTACTCTTGTATTGGGCTCATTTTTAAATTAATTTTATGAACATTTGAGTTTATATTCTTTTCGTTACATTTGATATATATATATATATATATATATATATATATATATATATATATATATATATATATGGTAAAAAAAGAAAAGAATGAACAGTAAGATATATAATGCGGTCTTCTTATTGATATTTTTATTTTTACAAAACAGTGCTCAATGTAAATTTACAGAGCATAAATATTATAAATTAACTGATTTAAAATTTGGCTCCTTCGCTACACAAGAATTACCATGTTTCAAAAAACCGAAGCTAAAAGCTTCAAATTCAATCATATATTAATTATTAGATTTTCTGTTATATATATATATATATATTATATATATATATATATATATATATATATATATATAGAGAGAGAGAGAGAGAGAGAGAGAGTGAGGTAGATAGATAGGATACTAAATTATTAAAATGGAATATATATATATATATATATATATATATATTAAATAAAACTAATAATTGTACCTTTCCTGAGTGAACTTACGCCCGCATAATGTTGAAAGATCGGTTCCCGGATGATCACTGAAGTTAAGCAACTTTGAGCCTGGTCAGTACCTAGACGGGTAACCGCTTGGGAATACCAGGTCCTGTAAGCTTGGATGTGCAGGTGGTGTAATATATAATGACTTTGAATTGTTAATTGGAGTGCCCAGTTCTACTTTTCTGTTAGGTTCGTTATATTACACTTACGCACAAATACGCTTGGGAAAGGTATGAAGTCACCTGTTCTCCCCTAGCTATGGGTTAATTAATAAAAAATTATTACAATATAAAACTAGTCTCTGGCTTTAAATAACCTGCAATGGGTGGATAATACATAGAATACATATCAATTAAGAAAGAAAAGTAATTTTATGCTGATGTTCTAATCTACGGCAATAACCAATCTTTTATATATCAAGGTATATTTCATTGCAGTATATTGCTACAATTGTTTTATTTTATAACTAGAAGTAGAGCCCGGCGGTGCCCAGGGATGTAACAGTAAGAGATAGATCAAGTATCGACCATCATAAAGATTGAAAAATAAAATTGACAAAGATTATTGTTTAAGGTTGACGGACACGCATGTCTTAATTAGTTTTTTTTTTTTTTTGTTTTTTTTACGAATTGGTCAAACCCAAACACAAACAAAAACATTGTTTTCAATCGTTATGAGTCTACCGATTGAATAGAATTTTATTATAAACAATTGTCATGTAAATGGAATTTTTAAAGCAGTCTGAATGTAAAAATAAAGAAAAAAAGTGTGCAAGACAATGAGAAACACTACCTGCCAAAAACAAGTGAAGTTATGTTGAAATCGGTTTAAAAATGTAGGAAATCCGATCCCATATATAAACGAACACACACACACACACACAAACAATCTGGGTTTTTGTAATAAGTATAACTCGATATGAGTTGTCCCCCTCTGATTCTCGTGATGCCTCTTCATCGTGTTTTCAAATTGATTTTTGTGCAAAAACAATTGTGTTTTTCCAATTTTTGGCACTGTCAGAACCACTGCAAGGTAATTTTACGTAGTCCTGTGATGTTTTGTTGAAATCAGTTGAAAAATGTAGGAAATCCAATCCAATATATAAACGTACAGACACACACACACACACACAACCTGGGTTTTATAATAAGTATGATTATTATAACAACGTTGGCGATCGTGGCTCTCCGCATTTTCCTCCTAACAAATTTTATTTCGCTTAAACCCTGTTTTGCATGTCTCATTCCATATGTAACGCAGAGAAATGTCCTGAAATCCAATGTGTGGTTCATTTCCTGGTAAGCTGAGATCCACCTTAGACAAATTCTCGCCATTGGCACTTTCTTCTACGCTGATTTTATGTAACATCGAACCAACACTTCAAAGCCCAAAATGTGAGGTTTCTGGATCTGACGATAAACTACATCCGGCATCAATGTCTCTGATCGGGAGGTTTTGAAGAGCATTGGACCACGTCTTAATTGGTGTTGTTCCCAGGTCCAGCCCGACGCAGGGTGTTAGCACCTGTTAGGTTCCCAGCTATTCATATGAACTTATAAAAATCTTGTCGGCATTAAATAAACCGTTGAGGTGTTCATATGCCGTAAAACAAAACAAACTTGATTTTTTACAAAGAATACATATTTTATTTTTACGAACATATCCTAAAAATCTTGTCGGCATTAAATAACCCATTGAGGTTGATATGCCATAAAACAAAATAAACCAAACCCAACTGATTTCTTTTAAAGACTACATATTCTATTCATACGAACCTATCCTAAAAATCTTGTCGGCATTAAATAACCCATTGAGGTTGATATGTCGTAAAACAAAATAAACCAAACCAAACTGATTTCTTACAAAGAATACATATTCTATTCATACGAACCTATCCTAAAAATCTTGTCGGCATTAAATAACCCATTGAGGTGTTGATATGCCGTAAAACGAAATAAATCAAACCAAACTGACTTCTTACATCGAATACATATTCTATTCATACGAATCTATCCTAAAAATCTTGTCGGCATTAAATAACCCATTGAGGTGTTGATATGCCGTAAAACGAAATAAACCAAACCAAACTGATTTCTTACAAAGAATGCATATTCTATTCTTACGAACCTATCCTAAAAATCTCGTCGGCATTAAATATTGAAGTGGATATGCCGTAAAACAAAATAAATCAAACTAAACTGATTTCTTACAAAGAATACATATTCTATTCATACGAACCTATCCTAAAAATCTTGTCGGCATTAAATAACCCATTGAGGTTGATATACCGTAAAACAAAATAAACCAAGCCAAACTGATTTCTTACAAAGAATACATACTCTATTCCTACGAACCTATCCTAAAAATCTTGTCGGCATTAAATAACTCATTTATGTGTTGATATGCCGTAAAACAAAATAAACTAAACCAAATTGCGGTAGTGGTTGGATGACGGGAGCAGGTTTTGGTAAAACTGGATGCTTCTAATCCTGATCCTGCATGTTGGCAATAAATGTAGTCATCAACGCCATCATCAAAAAGGAAGCGATCAGCAATGAAATTAAATTCTTGGATACGAGATAAAGCCGGCACCGCCGACAAAAAAAACATTTTCTGCCATCCATTTCCACAAGCTCGCTAGTTAGGTTATTCTCTGTTTTCCTTAACGCTTAGCAAGACCGCCACACTGCATAAACCCCCATCCGTAGAAGAGTGGCTAGCAAGCCATGGCCATGACCAACATACCGAGTATGATTTTCAATGGGTATTTTCCCTTGTGGCACTCAAAGCCAGTGTTTCTCAAACTGTTCGACAGGTGTACCCCGTGATGAAATCTGATACGCGGTGAAAGATAGTATATTTCAAAATGTGCGAAACTCTTCTATTTGCCGTGTCCATTCAGAACGTTGGCGATCATAGCTCTCCACTATTTCCCGTCCTGTGTAGACTTCATAAATTTAGTCTTTTTGCTTATCTCCCCACAACCCTTCCTGCCCTCCATTCCTTCAAGCTACACCCTTGTGCAAATTAATTAAAAAAAAAAAACGAATAATCTAATTATTATTTACTTTTTTTCGTATTTTTTCTAATGAAACATGACCCTGTGCACATGTCAGTACTCCGTATGTTCATTCCCCGAAGTCGTTCCTTGCAGATTGACTATAGATCTTCGATTGGATTTAAATCAGGAGAGCTTCCTGGCCAGTCTATAGTACTTTGGTTTGCTCACTGGTAAGGCTTGCCAGTGTGCTTGTGCAGCGGTAAAATTTTCATACTCCTCCTTGGAGTAACGTCCATCGTAGACAATGGTTGTAGGACAACTAATCAACAGTCGAGACAATAGTATCTGAATGTGATAAAAATATGATGCAATCAAGGATGACGCAATATTTTTTCAAGGCCAAACAAATTTCATCGTACACCCCGAAAATAAACTCATATTACTGCACACCAATGCAAATGATCTGGAAAAACATAGAAATCGATTACACCTTGTCACTCCAGTGGGTTTAAAACTGACCGTATGTTGAAAGAAAGAAAACTAAAGCTGTTGTTTCCATTAATTTGCACAAGGGCGTGACTATGTAGACTATGAACTGTTTTCTCTGTCCTACTTGCCTTCAATATGTCATGTGAGTATCGAAATTTCCAAGCCCTATTTCCTCATTTTGTGCGCTAGAGATTTCAACTGTTTCTTCCTGATGTTAAGTAGAAATGCCTTTTTTTATGTTTCCATTGTCTGTAGAACTTTGTCGTTGCTCACATGTCTGGTGCATGTTATTCACAACATCCTTCTGTAGGACCACATTTCTGTAGGTTGAAGCCTCTCCTTTATCTGTGAGGAGATTATTCAGCATTCACTGTCATACAGGTGGAGTGATATTACATAACATTTCCGTGTTCTTTTCTTTGTTTCTAAAGAAATTTTCCTGTTTCATAATACTTTGCTTTCCTTGTGGAAGGCATCTTCCGTTATCCAAATGCGCCTTCTGGTTGATGTGACGCACTTTCCGTCCTCCATTAAAAAACTTCCCAGATATTTTAATTGTTGTATCCCCAATTTGTAATTCGCCTGCTGGGCTGCCTCTTTTGCTAGCAAACATGTATTTTGTCATTTTGCAATTAATGTTCAGTCCTTTCTTCTCTCTTTCCTTCATTACCACATGTAGTTCGTGTAGATTTCTTTCTTTGCCTGCTGTCAGCAATGTGTTATCTGCATATCTTATGTTGTTAAGATTGTGGCCGCCAATAATGAATCCTGGTAAGACTTCTAAGTGTCACAGAATCACTTCATAAGGTCCGGGGAGAAGAGGCATCATTGCCCTTTCTATTTATGTTTTCTTTCTTTGCCTGCTGTCGGCAATGTGTTATTTGCATATCTTATGTTGTTAAGATTGTGACCGCCAATAATGAATTCCGGTAGGACTTCTAATTGTCACAGTCTGGTGAGAAGAGGCATCATTGCCCTTTCTATTTATGTATATTAAGTCTCTCTGAAAAGTAACGGACTGGGTATGCTGTGTGCGTTATGGACAAAAAATGATAAGCAGATTTTGTTATCTAAAATGATATCTTGGGAGTATATAAAGAAAAGATGACACCGATAATAATATATATATATATATATATATATATATATATATATATATATATATATATATATATATATATGTATGTATGGCTCAAGTCATTGACTCCATACAGGTACCATATACACCAGCTAGATGTTTTCCATAAAAGCTGTCTGCGTGCAATCTGTGGAGTTAACCTTCAAGATCGAATATTTAACGTATACCTGTTTAACAAGGTGTAATATCGGAGGAATCGAGACTTTTATCATACAGTCTCAGTTACGGTGGACTGGTCATGTCGTGAGAATTTCTGATGACAGAATACCCAAGATCCTAATGTACAACCATTTAGATCAGGGCTACAGGAATGTAGGACGCCCATGGCTAAGATACAAGCTAAGATACAAGCTGAAAAGCAATTTGTCAGCTCTCAATATACCACATAACACCCTCGAGCGCTTAGCCTTGGAGCGGGTAGAATGGAGATCATCGTGTTTTAGTGTACTCAGCAATTTTCAATCTGCTTGTCTGAATCATCTTCA